AAAAACACTATTATAGGGTTTTATTCATTTCTGTCAAGACTTCTTGAACCTACTTGTTTTTCTAACATCATGAATATTTTTCTGTATAAATACCAAAAGAGGACGAAGAGAGAACCAGTACTTTAAAATAATTATATTACCATTTTCTAACATAAGATCTTTAAAATTGTTATAAACATTATCCCCCCCCCCCTTTGTTTTTTGCAAGTTTACTTGAGCCTCTCTGTGGAGCTATGTGCAGCTGGTGTTAAGAAATCAAACAGCGCCATCTGTGAAAATTAAATCTTAATTTCCCACTTTTTCTTCTTGAAATTACTTGTATGAAATATTTCTTAAGAGTTGGGGTAGATTAAAGCCGTGTCATGCACTTGTATATAAATGGAAGAAAATAATGAACTTATAGTTTTAAATCATACTGTCTGTTGAACTTTTTTTATATAAAACATTTATAACGTAAGAAGTGTTACGAATGTTGGAAGTTTGCCATTATGACTATTGCAGCGAGATTTTTTTATTCTGAGTTTGTAAACACTTTAAACAATAAAAGATGAGGTTCGTTTGGAAATAAAAGTGAATGGGTTTTTTTGTTTCAGTTGTAAAATGTTAGTACTTTGATGATGATAAACTGTTTCCATCATCACAGGTTGAAACTAACAAAGTGTTCTTGAGGGAGAACGGCGTAAATCTAACTCTTACTATAGTAGACACACCAGGTTTTGGAGATGCAGTGGACAATAGTGAATGGTAAGTTTAATTCTCGAAGTGAGACTGGTGGAAAGTTGAATGTCAAAAATGTAGGTAGTTTATATGTTAAGGTAAATAATATTTTGATGGATCTGACATTCTTAGGCGAAGTATGCATAAAGTAACATTATTTGAAAAGGGTTACAGAAAATTTAAAGAAATTGATGTTTCGGGATATTTAAAACAGTAATGCAAAGTTAGGAATGTTTCTTAGCTGGCTATTCTGTTGTTTAACTCTCTTGTATGTGCTGTACTGTCAAGAGTAACACTGTAGAAGAGCAGGTTCTACTTCTAAGCTGGTAATTTCTTTATTTTCTACGTAGTTGGCAGCCTATTGTAGACTTCATAGACACTAAATATGAAGACTTTTTGAATGCAGAGTCACGGGTTCATCGTACAAGTATTACAGACTCACGAATTCACTGTTGTCTGTATTTCATCAGTCCAGGGCATGGGTAAGTTTTACTTGTTTATACCATATTTATACATAACAATGATTCAGTTACTTTTAAATTTTTTAAATCAACTAAATACTTAACATAAAATGTTTAAAAATGGATTACAAAGAATTAAAAAATACATGTAAACATAAAAAAAATTATTATTTTATATTTTTTTTATAGCTTGAAGCCTTTAGATATAGAATTCATGAAGAGATTACACGAAAAAGTTAATGTTGTTCCTCTCATCGCTAAAGCTGATACAATGACCCCCGAAGAATGTTACCAGTTTAAGAAGATAGTAAGTATACTAGTTCATAGACTTTGTATCTGTAAACAAACAGGCAGCAGTATCACTTAGTGAAAGTGACATCATGAAGTGGGAGACCACAAAGCTTGTTATGGACAAGAAAACAGTATGTTTGATTTTCACTGTCTTCGGTATCTTTAACAAACTAGGACGCTGAGTTTTACTTTTTTAAATGTGTGTCAGTAGAAAGTGTAGTTCCCACAGAGTGGAGCCTGTTTGGGTTGGTTTACAGTGCTTGAAACAGGAAATTGCTGAGTTTGTATGAATATAAGGTTTTTGTTTTGACAAGGGTGAGTGAGAATGAATCATGTAAAACAGAACCAATAACACTCATGTCTGCTTTATTAATTTCTTTTTTAAGTTTTCAAGTCAGAGGTTTAAACTTTTTGTAGATGAATCACTAGGGATTTAGTCCAAGAAGTTCTTACCTAGTGATTGATAAATTTTACTTGTAACCCAACGGTCCATGGTTCATGTCCCATTGCCACAGAATCATGCTTAGTACTTTGGATATACAAGTGTCTTATAAGAGTAATGGTCAATTACAGTAACTAAAAAAAGAGTTGGTGGTAGGTACTGTTGACTAGCTACCTTCCCTCTAGTCTATAAGTTCTAAATTATAGATGGCTGGTACAGAGAGCAATTGTGTAAGTTTGTGCGAGTCTCTGAAACAAACAAAAAATTTATCTTAACAAGTGAAAGTGTGTTACGATTAATATTTAGTTATTTTAAAGTGCCAATAACATATAATAAAGTTGGGAATTTGAATGGAGTTTACTTATTTAGAAGGAACTTCGATTAGACTTTTTCTTTAATAACATTTCATTACTTATCCAGTTGATAAGACTGTTGTAAGTTATAAAAATCCACCTACAAATTAGAATGGAATTTAGGATTTTATTATCATTATTTTAAATTAAAAAAATGGCATTTTAGACATAGATTATAAAAAAAATTCATTTGAAATATTTATTTTTCAAAATGTCAAATAAATACAAATTGTATATTATTCCTGTTTATTATACAATGAATTTCTGTCACTTGTTGCGAGTAGTGAGACAGGCTTAGGGTTTGTGAGTGTTATAGTCTAAAACTTCATTAAAATATATATATATTGCTATTATTGGAAAAACGAGTTTTCTATGTTAACTTTCAGCAAGCCAATAAAAACAGCTGTCATATAGCTATTATGATCTTCAAAGTGTTCTTGAAATTTTGATGGTGATAATAAATTTACTATTTTGGACTATCAATCTTAACACTGGATTAAAAGTAAGCAATCTTTTCCTCTTCAAACACTTGTATCTAGTTACTTAGTATTTCTACATGTTATGTCAGAAACAAAGAAAGTTGTTATGGTAACTTATGTTGTATAAACCCATGTTTGATGTATTCAGGTACTTAATGAAATTGCCCAAAATAAGATCCGAATCTATGAGTTTCCAGACTGTGAGGACGAAGAAGAAAATAAACTTCAGAAGCCCATGAAGGTTAGTTTGAAGCACAAATTATTAAAAGTCATTTCTTTGAAACTTGACAATCTATAAATTATGGCAGTCATTTGTAATTTTATTATTTCTGTTATGTAATTATATTACATAAGGTTTTGACTAAGAAATTTTGTGACTATGCTTCAGTCTTAAAAAAAATTTTAAATGACCAAAAGTTTTAGTGTTTTAAAGAATATTCATTGTTTATGTAATCTAATCAAGTACTTTTGTAACAATGCTTCAATCTTTTAAGAAGTCAAAAATGGTCCAAAAGCTTGAGTATTTGTGAAGACTGGTCGATCCTTCTTTGTCAGGAAGTTAGACCTTTTAATTTTGTCTTCAGATAAAAGGCCTCTGAAGTCATGACAGCGTAGCACAATGGTATTTCAGAAATAATTAAAATATCACATACCCTACTAACATTTCTAGCTAATCCATGCATATTTATATGATTATAATTTATACTTGATGAAATGTAAAACAAGGATAATTCTTTCATGAAAAATATAAGTAGGAACTGAAATGTTCTTTAAAAACAAACCTCACGTTTGGATAATATATATACATATTTTTGGTTTACATAACTGCATCTTTAGGTGACCTTTTTATGAGTTACGGAACATTATGGTGATTGAGTAATTAAAAAGTCCCCTACTATTCTAACTTGATGAGGCATTTATTTAAATTCATTGTTAAAACTTTCTTACCACCAAAGTTATGTTCCAGTGAAAAAGAAACAATAGGCTCAATGTACTTTTAAATTTGTCACATGTCATCTAAAACAGTTCTAGAAATTCTTCAGTAACCCTGGTAGCATTCATTTTAGGTGTTCTTCAAATGCTTATATTGATATAGGTTATTTATGGTGATTAGAGAAAGTTAAAAAAAAATGCTTATCTTATAATACTTTGGTAAAGTTTGAAGCCTTGGAGGTGAAGTTGTCAATGTTTTTTAAGATACTACAGTATAAAGTCTGATTAGTTTTTAATTCTTTGTCTCTAGGAACAAGTACCATTTGCTGTAGTAGGAAGTAACATGGTAATAGAATGCAACGGTAAAAGAGTTAGGGGTCGAAGATATCCCTGGGGGGTTGCAGAAGGTGGGTGTTTTTTCTTGTCTACTGTTTTAGAAACATTTAGTTTTGAAGACTGAGAAGTCGTGTATAGTGTACTTTATTTCATATTTAATACTTTATGTCGTATTCATTGTATTTTAACTTCAAACATTGATATATTGGTTTAAAATATTGCAAGGCTAAAATGGGTCAAAAGGTAAGAAATTTATTTTGGAAATTGAATGTAGAATTAGTTAATATTTAGTTATAGTTGTCAAAAGAAATTAACCCTTATACTACATTTTATTCATTTATAATATACCCTATAACCCACAAACTTTCACTAATCTTTTCGTAGAATTACTAATGTAGTTTTCTCCCGTTGATGCTTCACCTACTGCAGAACATGACTAGATTGGTGCTTCACCAATTTTTGTGAATGATAGTAAAAATTAATAATAAATTTATAACTGGTGTTAAAATTAAAACTCGTATTCTGTTATTAATTTTTACCATGAAAATCTAATTTGTAAATGACATAAATAAAACTGATAACAATAATTACAGTTTGCTTGCTTAATCTGATTCACACTATAACAGCTGTTGTCCAATAAAATTAATTACATAGGCCTACACCACAACTAAGTTTCTCGTATCTCGGCTGGCTCGATATTAGGTGAAAGGCCCTGTTGACACCAGGTATGACAGATGTAGTGTGAATGACACAACCTTTTCTTGTTTGCTCTCACTCATGGGTTGTTAGGATTAACAGATTTATTTATTCATTTTCTTTTTAGTGGAAAACATGGAGCATTGTGACTTTCTTGCCCTCAGAAACATGTTGTTAAGGTAGGTTTCAAACAGAAATTGACTATCAGAAACATGTTGTTAAGGTAGGTTTGGCGTTTCTGATAGTCAATGTCTGTATGTTGTTAAGGTAGGTTTGGCACAGACATTGACTGTCAGAAACATGTTGTTAAGGTAGGTTTGGCACAGACATTGACTGTCAGAAATATGTTGTTAAGGTAGGTTTGGCACAGACATTGACTGTCAGAAACAT